TCCAGAGTTCCTTTCAGATATAGCTTAGAGATACTCCAGACACAAATGCTATTCTATTGCTTATTCAGATTCAAACTTCTAAAGACAAATTAGAGATGCTCCAGACCCGGAGGCTATTCTATTTATTTAGTCCAGATTCATTCAAAAGACATTCCAGATACGATCCAGATTCGGATGACACTCTATCACTCACTCAGATATAATATGGATATACCCCAGAGGCGGCGGTCATTCTACTATTTATTCAGACTAGATATGCTCCAGACACGAAAGCTATTCTATTTCTTATTCAGATTCAACTATCCATCACATTTCCAAATGGCATCTATAAGCCCATTCCCGACAAGGTCCTGTCACACCTCCAGATGGCATCTATAAGCCCATCCTCCTATCCACCATCTCTCCAAATGGCATCTATAGGCCCATTCCCGACATCACATTGCTGATATTCTACTATGCGAGTGCAAATTTCTGGGCACTTTAGTGTTCAATCATCTTCCACCTTCGGATCACGAAAGGCACGCAAGCCAATCTACACCCTAAGGTCTAAGAAGATTGAACAGGGGCAACTTTTGTACCCCAAAATTTTCCCTCCCATACTCTTCAAAGTTTATCAAGAATCATCTTCAAATGGTTCAAGATTTCTCAAGGGATTGCACAGTCAAACATCCTCCGAAGCCGGCTGAAATTAGGGTTTTGGTTCCTGGAAGGAAGTTAAGGTTTTCAAGGGCTCAATCAAGTCTCATGTGCCTATATACATTGTCAAGCATCTACATGCTAAGTTTCAAGGCTCACAGGGTCAAGTTGCACAGTCAAAAGCCCTAATTGGTTCACAATCAACTGCAGGGGCAAAATGGTCATTTTACAGTCAAAAGTCAAAATTTTTGGTCAACATCTTATTTTGAAGCCACAATCATCATTTGATCAAGTCTTGATCATGATTCCACAAGCATGGCTCAAAAATCATCAAAGATGCAAAAGTTTCTATTTTTGGATAGCTGAAAAGTCAACTGTAACTTGACCAAGGAATAACTTTTTCATGGTTCATCATAAAAATCTCATCCAATGCTCATTTTTAAGGGGATGACATTTCCTACAACTCATATTCACATTCCAAGTCCAAGAAATGCTCCCACAAAAAGTTATCAATTTCTACATTATAGGTCATTTTCAAAAGTCAACAAAAAGGCATTTTAAGTCAAAGACCATAACTTGATATTGGTAAATCAAAATGACATGGGACCAAAGGCATTGGTTATAGGACTTCAAGACCTTTCCAAAATGTCAAAGAACATGTTCATAGGATCAAAATTAAGCAAGATATGCATTGGAGAAGTTGGGAAATTTTTGGGAATTTGCAAAAGTCAACTTTGCTCAAAATACTTCATTTTTGCTAATGGGCCTCAAATTCCTTCTTGAATCTTTACCCAAAGCCTATGCACGACCCATTGAGCCTAAATTGATTTATTTTCTTATTTTTAACTAATTAATTGAATTTTTATTAATATTAATTCATTTAATTGATTTTAAATGTAGGAAAATTCAAAAGATATTATTTTCAAATCTTTTGTGGAGCAAATATGACCAACACATGCTGAAGATTTCGTTTGCCAATCAAGGGGACCAAAATATCCAATTTTAGCAAGTTTTATCAATCAAAAATATGCAAAAAGATATGATTGAAATCAAAGATGCAAAACATAATTTCATGGATTCTTGGACAAAGATTGAACCCTAATTCCATTCTACTATAAGAGCATAACCAAACCCTAAAGCCTTGGAGGTGCAAAAGCTGCTGCAGAAGCCATAGCCAATTCCAAAAAACTCAAGAAAATTTGAAAACTGAATTCAACCTTTCAGGCCAATTCAAAGCCTTTTCTTGATTCAAACACGTTGCTAGCATACTCAGAAACAATTTGCAATCGAAACCATGTGTTTTACCTCAAGGAAACGCCCAGAACAGTTTCACGGTTTGAATAATTTTGCCATAATCGTAACTCACTTTTTATGCATCATTATCATGTTATAATCATTGTTTTGCATTGCTCTAACCTTTCTGAAGCTGATGATATAGGTTAATTGTATTATGGTGCCCTGAAACGTAAACCACCATTGTTGAATTCTAGGGTTTCAAAGCTCTTGATTTGGGGGTTTGCTATATAGGTAAAATTAGAACCTCCAACGCCTATGGTTGAGATTGCTGGAACGAGACAAACACAAAGCAACCATCGCGCCCTATTTATATAGCGTGGATTTCTATTCGCTATTTTTGGTTGTTCCATATTGTGGGGGTTTAAAACCCCCACTAATTGCTTCTGTTTTATAGGAAAAAAGGAAGAAGATGATTACGCGTGGATGCAGGATTGGCTTATTCAAATATAATGCGCGCTTTTTCTCTTTCAAAGCATAATTGGTTTTTTTATATATTATTTTCATTATCCCTTATATTAACAAATGCAATGCAGTGGCTTAGTGGAAAGGGACGTGTCTGGCAATTGTTGGGACCTGGTTTCGATTCCCAGGTCCCCCAAAAACTCTTTGTTATTTTTCATAATATGTTCTAATGCAGCGCTTGTCCAGAATTCCATCATGCAACCTCACAGATCAGCATGCCAAGTGTCTCAAAAGACAGATCCAAAGGCCAAAGATAAAAGGCTATGGTGTTCTCTAGTCAATGAGCACGCACCTGATTCCAGAAGTCAACAAGGGCTTTGTGCTATTGGGCCAGAATTGCTTCTTTAAAACCTCCATTTGGGTAATCACACCCCCCTGGTTTGCTATTTTTTTTATTATTTATTTTCTTTCTCTTTTTAATTCTTTTAATTATTATTATTATTATTATTAACTAACAAATTATTTTTATAATAAAATCAGAAACTTAAAATATTTGTATTATTATTATTATTATTATTAAATTTCACCTTAATTGTTATTTTTGTAAATAAAACATTAACAAATTAATTAGTTTAATTAGTTAATTTTAATCTTTTTTTGACAATAAATAAAATAGGTTAGAATTAGGGTTTTTCTCTTGACTTTTTATTTCTTTTCTTTTTATTTTTCATTAAAATATTAAAAAACACCTTTTTTTTTCTTTAATTAAGTAATTAATTAGTACTAGGTTTAATATTTTAATTAATTGCAAAAAAGGACAAAACTTAAATTTCTTTCTTTTCTCAAAAAAGGGTCAAAACCCTAAGGACGTCCCGATTTAATTTCTTTCGCACATTATTCTTATTTTTGATTATTTATGTAACTGTTTCCAGAATGTAATAGTTAATTAGGATTTTATTGCTTTCTTTACTTTCCGCATTTATTTTCAAAACGGGTTATGTTTTTGGCGATGTATAGACCCGCGCCTTGTAATAGCGTAGATTCATATTTCCGCAATTTATTTTCCGCACTCTTAACTGTTAATATGCATGAAAGATCTGTATGCAAAATAAAATCAATCCGTAGCTCACAAATGCATGATCAAAGATAAACATTAACTGAAAAACAACACACAAGCACATGCCACTCCTAGGGTACGCCTCACTGGATGCCTCGAACGTGGTCGTCAAGTATAGGGTGTCTTAGAGGTCGCCCTCCTGTCTAAAGATCGAGTCGCCTCGAAACAGCTGCCTCGGATAAAAAGGATCTAGGACATTAGGGTTACTTATAAGGTGTCCTACTATTGCTTCGGTGACCACACTGTCCCATTAATCGAATTGACCCGAACACCTCCAATGACGGTGCTACCTACCTCTCAATTGTGGGATAGCACTGTCTAAAGGACTCTTACACAGCCTAATTCATTAGGGTAGGTAGATCCCGTGGGTACTTGCTCTTTTCAAACAAACAAAACAATCTTTTCACACTAACACTTTCCAAAAGTTTTCAAACAAATTTTTCATACACTCTTGAGGACAGATACAAGAGTTACTTAGAAATTTTTCAAACGAAACTTTTTCAAAACCCACACACACTTGAAAAGCAAACAAATTTTTGAAAACATAAGAGCAAGTACCTAAGAGCCCGTGGATAACCACGGATAGAAAGGGTGCTAACACCTTCCCTTTCTACAATCTACCTCCCGAACCCGAGAAACATCTCGAAAAGGAATTTTGCTGTGCTTTTGTCCTTTCCATGTTGGAGAACATAAAAGACGGTGGCGACTCTTGCTTACCGCGACATTTTGCGAACCAGCTTTAAAACAGTCAGTTCTATTTCCACCGATCACACAAGGGAAATTTTGATTCAAGTTCTCGTGAAAACACATAAGACACTCATCATGGAGTACCATGGATTAAATTTGAGGTCGGATGGATAGAATCCTTAATTTGACTAAAAAGTGATCAAGGCCTCCATTTACCAAAAGCTAAGAAACTTAAAGAATGTTTAGAAGTGTCATAATTCAAGAGGATCCATCTTGCAAAAAGCTCATAAATAATAGACATGGAATTTTGAATTGTAGCAAGTTTCAGCATATTTAAGTTCTACCAGTTACATCTCATTCAAGCCTCTGCTTTGACTACATAATTCTCAAGATATACAAAAGGCCACAAATTTACAAAAGAAATCAAATTTCTATTACAAGTCAGAACTATTCCCATCCATGGTCATTCAAATTATTCAAAATTACTCGAGTTCAATCATACGAGCGTCTTTCATTCACTCATATTACAGTACATGTCATTTCGAGATTACAAAACAAAGTTACAAAGGTCCAAATAAACTTTTACAAAAAAAAAGAAGAAGGGGAAAACACCGATTCTCGTGATCTTCAACCTCGAACCAAATCCAGAGACCGTCCTTCATTTCTTGGTTGAAACCGTAACACCGTTTCCGATCACAGCCTCGATCAGATTCAGCTTTTGTTCCTCGTCAATTTCCCGTGTTCATGCAGCGCGTCTCAGTAATTCCAACTCACTCACTTTTCTCGTAACGGTTCTCCTGTTGTTCATGATACTAAACTCCCACCAAGCTTCACTTTTCCACTTTCACCCTTCCACCGCCATATGTCGCCGCCAACCTCCGATTCCGGTAACCTTCGCCATCACACTCTGGAGGAGACCAACGGTTTCCACAATGGCAACGCTGAATCCTCCAAAACGGAAGTTAATTCTGCCGCACCGCCGATTCCGAGTTCGTTCCGCGATGCGTTTATTGCAGTTCTGCGGAGACTCTTCGAAGAATCGTATTTTCTTCAGCTCAAGGTTTCTCGGTTGGAGCCGGTATCAAAGGCGGTCTTGCTCTCTTCGTGATCTTGGCGCGATTCGTACGAAAAAAACCGCCAAGGAAAGAGATTGTGGTGACGAACGGTGAAGTGATTGTTGCGGTTCTGAAGGAAACATTGAGATATGGTTTGTTTCTTGGAACCTTCGCCGGAACGTTTGTTTCAATGGATGAGTTTATAGGTGCTTTTGGAGGTCACCGTAGAACAGCAAGGTGTAGAGCGCTGTTTGCAGGGGCAGTTGCTGGGCAGTCGATGCTTCTGACGGGGTTAGAAGCACAACACACAAGCTTGGCCATTTACATTCTCACGCGTGTTGCTGTCTTAGCATCTCGTTGTGGGATTAAGAGTAAACGATTTGGGAGAATTTGTAAGCCTCTCACATGGAAGCACAAAGACATTTTCCTCATGTGTCTCTCCTCTTCCCAAATTTTGTCTGCTTATATATTACACCAAGACAGTTTACCTGCTTCATATAAATCCTTTCTCAATAAACATGGTGGAAAGGATGCAGTTATCTTACAAGGTGTAAAAGATATAGCCAGTGGCAAGGCTTTTACTAATCTGCATGCAATAGAGAAATACTACAAGACCGTGGGTGTCGATGTGAAATTAGATCCAAATATGCAAGTCCCATGCTCGATTGTACATGGGAATCAATCATGTGGTGGGCACGTCATTTCTTTTCTCGGTCAAGCCTACAAAAGAGCGTTACCTGTTTATTTTCCAGTTTATCTGATACCTGCCCTAATAGTTCACAGAAAAGGACTTTTACAAAGGCCTTTTACAATATTGACAAAGGTTCTTATTGGCACTGCAAGATCAAGTTTGTTTCTGTCAGTTTACTGTACATCCGCCTGGATGTGGACATGCTTTCTGTTTAGGATCTTCAAAAGATGTAACATTCCAATGGTGGCCATGGGAACGTTCCCACCTGGCCTTGGATTAGCTATTGAAAAGAAAAGCAGGCGAATCGAGATATCATTATACTTCCTTGCCCGAGCTATTGAGAGTTTCTTCACATGCATAGCTGATGCTGGGTATCTGCCACCGTCTAGAAGGATCAAGAGAGCCGATGTTGTAGTTTTCAGCTTGTCAACAGCTTCAAGCCCAGGCCCAAGCTCATGCAGCAGCAGCCAGTGGTCTTCTTGGCCATACAGAATTACGATTTCATATGCCTCCATCGATAACACTTGCAAGCCGAGGGCGTCTGTAGGGTCTCAGACTTCAGCTGACACTTCTTGACCGGGGGTTTGATGATCTAGATTAATGAACGTTAAGAGCTCTGGATTTGGATAATGTTTCTACTGCACCTTCTATGACTGAAGAAGAGGTAAACGCTCTTCTAGTTCACAAACACAAGGTTTCTGTTCTCCAAAAAAAAGTAGTTCTTAAATGCCACAAGCACCGCCATCATCTTCTGCTGAGAAAACACAGGATAATTCAAATGCGGTTGGAAACACAAGTCCTACTGGCCATTTGGAACTCAACCTGTAAAATCGCATCAAAACAATCCACAATCAGAACCAAAACTCACAAACTCTCTAACTGCAATAACCGAAAAAAACAGAAAACAAACTGCATAGAAAGTTGGAAAGTAGAAAATTAATTAAAACAGTTCAGCTCAACAGCTTAGGAACTAAAAACTTCTAACCAAAACTTTCTAACAGAATTCTAACATAAATTTCCTAACAAACTACTAACAAACTCTCTAACTGCCAAACAGAATAACAACCTCCAACCAGCTCTTCATTGAAGCAACATAAGCCATTGGCATCTGCAGTACACAAGCTGCTGTAGGCATACCTGCAAACATCAAATTTATTCATTAAATTTGGATTCCCAGACCTGTATTCAACAAAAAAAAGAATAGCACAAGGGAGAATAATGTCGCCAAAATTAAAGTCGTGGTACGTAAAAGACCTTTAAACCAGAAAGAGCTTGCTAAAAGATAGGATGATGTTGTAACTCTATCTGACAATGCTTATTTGACAGTCTATGAACCTAAACTAAAGGTTGATCTGACAGCTTATATGGAGAAGCATGAGTTTTGTTTTGATGCCGTTCTTGATGAGCATGTTACTAATGATGAAGTATACCGAGCTACAATTGAACCAATTATTCCCATAATTTTTGAACGAACCAAAGCTACCTGTTTTGCTTACGGCCAGACAGGAAGTGGCAAAACATACACAATGCAACCTTTACCGCTCAAAGCTGCAGAAGACCTTGTTCGACAGTTGCATCAGCCAGTTTACCTGAGTCAGAAATAAATTGTGGCTTAGCTACTTTGAGATATATAGTGGAAAGCTATCTGATCTTCTTAGTGACAGAAGAAAACCTTGCATGAGGGAAGATGGACGGCAGCAAGTTTGTATTGTAGGATTGCAAGAATTTGAAGTTTTTGATGTTCAAATTGTCAAAGACTTCATTGAAAAGGGAAATGCTTCAATAAGTACAGGATCCACGGGTGCTAACGAGGAGTCCTCCAGGTCGCATGCTATCTTACAATTGGTTGTAAAGAAGCACAATGAGGTGAAAGCAGGCAAGGAAAACATCAGAATAAAAAATCAGAAAATGATGGAATCAGAAAGAGAATTACAAACTAACAAATAGTGCCAGCTCAGTTCAAGGTCACATAACTGAATTTCAGTTTCAAAAAAATTCTCAACTGTAACTAACTTCAATAACCACTCCTAACTGTCTATAACAGAATTTCATAACCAACTAACTTTCTAATTGTTTTCATCAACCCTGAATAATCGATACAACTGATATAAAGAGAAAGAGGGATAGAGGATCATGGTCAATTTTTTTCATTCAATTCACACACAGAGATGCATTTTTATTTTTAGAAAGAAACTTACCAATTCATATTGATTCTGGATTTCAAGAAGGATCTCCAAAAACCTCTTCCTTCTTCCCTCCCCTTCATCTTCATCTTCTCTCTTTACTCTGCATTTTTTTCCAATCATCTTCATTCTTCTCTTCCTTACCATTCTTCAATCTTCATCCTTCTCTGCAACCTTACTCATCATAATCTGCGAATCTTGGTGGAAATTGCAGGATTTCGGCATCACATCATCAACATTCATATACTTCATACATCTCCAATCATCTTCAAATTCTCAACGCTACTGAATATTGTCGATCTTCATCAATAGGCGATCTTGAATAAACAGTAACAACTTCTATCTGCATAATCACAACAACAACCATAATAGCTTCTCAGCAACAAAAACGCAACAATAACGAGTCTTGGAGTTGCAGAAAAAGAGGAAGAATCGGTAGAGGGAGATGTTGTAACAGAAAATAAGAAGAGCGTGAGGACGATTACCTGGGCACAATTCTATCCATATGCTTGATTTGGATGTCGTCAAAGACACGGCAGACGTTCTCCAACAATTTCTATTTTCTGTTAAACGGGGCAATTGTGACCGAAACAATATGTTGATCAAGATTATGCGAAACAAAATGAATCACGAGTTGGGACAAATCGGGGTGAAGCTGGACGGATCAATGAAGCTGGAGGCGCAGCCGAAAGCGGAGCTGAGACAGAGAGTTGAGTGAATGAGTTGCATAAATCAAAGTTGTTGCAAAGATGTATTCACATGTGATGAATGAGATGGTGGTGTGCGCCGCCGATAGACGAGGTTGAGGATCCGGCCCCGTCGAAGGAACAAAGAGGAAGGAGTTTGTTTTGAATTGTGAGGAAGCCAAATCCCTATTTCCTCTTTCTTTTTCTTTTTTTCCTTTTTTTCTTTTCTGTTATTATTGGTAAAACAAAAATAAAGAAATGTTTAATAATACAATTGAAATAAAATAATGATGATGTTGTTGGACTATTCCCTGGATCAATTCGTTAGGTTGTACACCATAGGCCTATAGTGTAGCGCCTTTTTTTATCAATTAGGAAATATGAACAAAAATATTTGTTGGGCTTTGACCCTACTGGGCCTAGCGCCCAAGGCCTATTAATCACCACACCTCTAGCTTCAGGCTCACACCTCCCCTGATACTCATTTTTCTTCTATTAGATTTAGGATATTTTTTTTATTATAATTTTTTCTATATTGTTTTATAATAAAATTGTAAAAATCAATACAGACTTGATAGATTTTTAATTAATTTTAGAAATTAATTTGTGATATAGATACTTAATATTGATTATCATCTCATTGTTATTACTAATTCATCTTGCGAGCTTGTGCAAGGTATTTTAAGAGAGCTTTCGATCGTTTATTTCGACCGAAGAGCATTTGCATTTCACTTTATTTGTGGATTTGAGATTCGCTTCCGACGCGATTTATATTGATTCTCATTACATGAGAAATGTACATTGCTTGTGTTTTTGTCTGGATTTTAAATTCTTATGTAGGTGCATTATCTGTGATGTGGATGTTTTCGATGCCCGCATTGCGCATGTGATTTATTTTCACATTGCCCATTTTTGACTATTCTCTTGTTGTTGATGCTAACTTGCTTGAAGTTCTCCGGGTTACTTTTATTTGCGCTGGCTTGCTACAAATTGTTATCTGTTTGCCAAGATTTTATGACAGTATTGAGGCAACTCTCGCAATATGGAATGCTTGAAGGTTAATTCTTTGACCACTGGAGCGGAACAACTTTCGTAGAGTTTTCTCATCGCCCGCATGGTTTCGAAAAGGAAACGGACCTTCTTCGTTCGGTATCGTCACAATCCCATTTTATTTTTCGTATTATTCCATAATCCATATGCATGATAACATTAGGTAGAATTCCCTCAAAATTCTAACTTTAGATCTAACAACGCATGATAAAAATTAAGTTTAGAAATAGGCTAGTTTTCATGTGACTTTTCTTTCTCCTTTTGCATATGCATTTAAAACAAAAAACTTCTTTTTTACAAACTTTAAAATACTAAAAATTTACTGACGAGAATCATATCTTTGTTAAGTCTGTGAGACGATAAGCGGGTTTCTTCTCGACCTTATTATTCTCTTATTCTAAGCTTTGGTATGGTACAAGTCTCAAAGACTCATTTCATGAATAAATAGAGAAATGGCTAAAATCTCTCTCTTGAGATTAACTAACTGTTACCTACAAGCAAAAACACCAACAAATACAAACTCTTTTTTCCTCTGGGCCTTCCTTTCAAAACAGTTCAAAAGAACAAGTTAATTCACTTCTGTGCTGACGCGTAAGTCTCCAAAGGTCGAGTTGCGGCAGAAGGCGAAATTAATATCGTTCATTACAAACAAACAAATTCAAACCTTTTGTGCGCCCATACACGTTTTCTCCAAACACTTTTCAGAAAGAGCATGTTAATTCACTTCTGTGCTGACGCGTAAGTCTCTGAAGGTCGAGTTGCGGCAGAAGGCGAAATTAATGTTGTTCATTAAAAAATACAAACCGACAAAAACATATAAGCTTCCTTAAAAGGGATACGTAGGCATTGGGGTAGGGCCCAAGCGAGCACAACTTTTCATTTTCCCTACATTCTTTTCTCTTTTATTTTGCATGCATTTCCTGTACAGTTTAGATATAGATTAAACACACCCATAAGATAGACAACAAGAGTGGATACCATAGAGTACTACGGGCGTGTGGGGTGATAATACCTTCCCCTCGCGTAACAGACTGCCTTACCCTTATCTCTTGGTCGTTCAACCTTGATTTCATCCTTCTCAGGTTTTCTCGATGTTAACCTTTCCCTACCCGTGGGATAAAAGACGTTCGATGGCGACTTCATTGTTTTGATGATTTTCAGCCGGTTGTTTCAGTACCATTACAGGTTTCTCATCTTCTTCACTGTTTATTTCAGTAGAAATGTCTTCCGAACAAAGCATTAAGGATCTTCAGGAACAAAACGCCCAGTTCCAGCAAATGTTCATAAATCTGGCAAAAGGGCAGGAGGATCTGAAAGCCCTCATCCTGAAAGAGAAAAAGAAAAAGAAGAAGGTTGCCGGTATTCTGAATATGGGCAGAAGGTTTAGAGGGCCATTGAAGTAACCAGTCGATCTGACCTCTTCATCCAAGGAAGGGGAGAATCAAGAAGAAGAGACAAGGAAGAAGGACCCTAGCCCTGAAGCTTCTGATGATGACACAGATTATAATGATACCCAAAAAAAATTATTGGACCGAATTATAACTCTCCTCTAGGTTCATTACACATTTTTTTTGCTTAGAGTGATTGGTGAACAAAAGCGGCCTTGGCCCATCCGTTTTTTTTTGGGCACAAATTGATGACTGGTCTCAAAAAACTCATCATGGATTTGTTGTTTGGGCTTCCACCTAATAAGCCAGCCTATTCTTATTTTTGGAGCTATTGACACAACAAAATAAATCTTCGGCATGGGTGGGCTTAGTGCCATATTTGCTGGAACATACTCCCTGATCCTGGCTTACACCCCCTGATTTTTCTAATCTCTTGTTTTTTTTAGCTTTTCTCTTAGTTTAAATTTCTTCCAATTTTCTTAATAAAAATAGTAAAAAAAATACATATAATAAAACAATAAAAAATATGTAGAATTTAGGAATTCCTTTTAATTTTTTTAGATAATAAACTACAAAATTAATAAATTTTTTTAGATCTTTTTATTTGATTTTAGAAATTAATTCATAATCTTTCGATTACTTGAGACTTGTGATTCACCTTTGCTTGTTGAGTTGAGTCTTATGCATGTTCATTGTTTAATATGCAGACAAGTTTGAGTGTCCGGTTATGATTTATTTTCACATCAACGATGTTTTGACACTTAGTCCGAGCATTTGATCTCTGACTATTTGTTTGTTGATGCCAGCTCGCGCAAAGTATTCTAATTTCTTTGCTTTAGTTGCACTTTTTGAGGACATTATTGTTTGTTTGATATTATACTGCTTCCAATTTAACTTTCCACATTTTATCGCTTTCTAGATATCATGAGATGTAGGAAATAAAGAGTGTGCACTCGAAGTCACTGTTTAAAGTCTTGTAGCAGGCATCGCTTTCTATATGCTGTTTGTGTTTGTTTAAAATCTTACCTTTGAAGTAGGTATTCCACACGTGTGTTTATATTTGTGCTCTCATCTATCCACCATCCCTCATTGAAGTCCTCAAAAGGAGGCGAGCGGAAAGGGTCCGCAATCAACCCCCGCATTTTGTCTGTGTCATCCTTAGCTCGTGACGCACCATAATGCTTCAGAGTTGTTCCTACTCTTGTTATCGAGTCATCAAATGGAAAAGGGTTTTGCAATCAATCCCCACACTTTGTCAGGAGTTCGCATTGGCCAATGCTGATACTCCGTGATTATTCATGCTGCCTTCTATTGTTTACCTCGATCTTCTATATCTTGGTTAGGTGTTCAATCGCTTTGGACATCACATTTTTGTTTTACATCCTATTCCCACTTGTTTGTCTTGGGTGATATGCTCCCCTTGACTAAAGCATTTCACTTCTTTTCTTTACCTTTTTATGTGTGTGCTCTTTCGTGCTTATTTGCTTATTCACTTTCTATACCATATTCCCTTAGGATGTACTTGTTCCTTTCGGATGTAAGTTAGACCTTAGGTTGCAAGCCAGGCATGTTAATATAGGGTAAATATTTCGCTTTCCATCCTTGACATAAGACCATCATTGTATGATAATATTAGGGATTAGATTCTAGATAGTCTCTCTTAGATTTTTTTTCTTTCTTTTTGCATCTTCGCATCTAAAACTAAAAATTTCTTTTTCCTTAAACTAATAAAAACACTCTCTAACAACTTAAATCCTTTCTTAAAGTAAAAAGCACTAACCAACTCCTTTATTTTTTCCAATTGGCTTTTCCCTTGTAAGAGCATGTTAGGTCCTTTCCACTACAGGTCGTAAGTCTCCAAAGGTCGAGCACCGGTGGAATGATTGAATTTAACATTGTTCATCTAAAAATACAAACAAACAAAATTTGTGAGCCGAACTACGACGCTCTAATTCATTAAAAGGGATACGTAGGCATCTGGTCACGGGGCTCAGTCGAGCGAAAATTTGAAAATATTTCCTTTTTTCACTGTGTTTTCTTTGCATGCATTCCCTCTTGATTTGTATAGATTTTAGGCATTAGATTGAACACACCCTTTGATTAGAACAACAATAGTGGATCTCGTAGAGTACTATAGATGTAAGGGGTTCTAATACCTTCCCCTCGCGTAATCGACTCCCGTACCCAATCTCTCGGTCGCAAGACCTTGATTCCCCCTTCAGGTTTTTCTTCGATGATTTTCCTTTCCCTTTATGTGGGATAAGTAAATACTCGTATCAAGTTAACTGAACATAGGAATGGAGAACATCAAGGAGAATGGGTGGGCACCAAATATTTTTGAGCCTTAAATCATTTTTTCTAAAACTGTTAACCAGACCACATTACAACCCTTGAAAGTCCTAACTGAAGCATGGGTTAATTCGAAAGTAATATTGTAACGAGAGTACGGTAATCTGGCTCCTAGGAGGCTTGCTAAAAATTTTGAGTTGGTATTACTCCATCTTTTTATCTTCTTATATATATAAAAACTTAATGTTTTGACATCTTTTCAATAAATTTTTTAACTTCAAGACAAACATAGGATTTGCATTAGA